TTCCCAAGCATTCAGTGACATGAGCCACAGCTGTAACTGCTGCTAAGGAGGCTAGAAAGTGCTCTGGCCAGCTCATGTGCTCAGTCCTTGGAAAGATGCCCTCAAGAGTAACCTTGCCCCTTCGCATGGCAGGGAGGACAGGCTATGGCCCCTTTCACTGAGGACCAGAGTAGTTGGACTAAAGGATGGAGAAGTGACCCTGCATTCTTGTAGAGTTCACACAGACTTCGCCACCCTTACAAAAAATGTTGCTTTCTCTATGAACAGAGAAATAGTCAGGGGCCTGCAAGCTTGCAGGTAAATTTACAGATGTTTTCTACACAGCAGTCTTCAAGCAGAATCAGAGAGGAAATTGTAGGTGAGATCACTTGCTCTAGGCTTTTAGGAAACAGTCCTTACTGAGATGACACAGCTTTAGTAAAATCATCTCTCCAGCACTACGTAGCAAGAGTAAATTATTCTCTGTCAGGAGTTTGCATGTACAGTCACTGTTTTGAAGGAGTATTTTCATGAACCTTTTTGGAAAAGATTAGGTTTGTGGTTTCTGCTTGAACAATAGTAGTTGTTGGGACTTGAGTTTTCTATAGGGACTGAAAGATCTCTGCTCTCCCAAACAAGATAAAAACATTCTGACCTCTGGAAAATAAGATTAAAAAGACCAAGTATCCCTGAACTGAATTTCCTTTTGTTGAGAAAAACAGGCACTTAATTTTGGAAGGCTACTGTAGATACCAAGATGTCATGTTCTTATCTTGCATCATGTCCATGCTGAGGTGTTCTGAGCTCATGATGTGATGGGGGAGCATGGAACAAACCTTATGCTTTACTGCTCAGTTTTTGCTGTGAAATTAATACAGCTCAGTAGTCCATAAATAGCCTATTCTAATACAAGATTTTTCTTGACCTGAAAAATGAATGTAATGCTCTGAGTCAAAACACATGTATGTTCAAATGAGCCCTTCTACCCATTCTTTTATTTATGTTCAGTAGGATACCAGTCATTTCAGAACTGTGAAAGGTTTTTAATAATCAGGTTAAAAATCTGTCTCTGTACTCCCTGATCACTGTGAAGTGCTTTAAGGATTACTGACTTGCCTGCCTGTTTTTCTCCCAAGGCAGCTGTTAGCTCACAAAGCTGCTTGGAGCACTTATTTTCTTTTCCCAGAGAAGAATCTTGCATACACAGGAATAAAAAAAAAAAAAATGCACAGCTCTCCAGTCATTAATATTGAACAGTCTAAATTTAAAACAATTCCTAAAATCCTAATGGAAATATCTGCTCCCTAAGTGAAAATTTTATTAGAAGAGTCAGTCACGTGTTTTTGTAGAATGGTGGGTTTTTTTTGAGGCTAATTATGTGCCCAATAACCAATAATTTTATTTTATTGCAGAAGAATGCAAAGCATCTGTTCAGCTGCTGTTTCTGCTGGGTTTGCTTCCAGGAAAGTTGCTTAAGATACTTTAACCAGGTATGCTCTGTCATCTCTGTCCCTCAGCCTTGTCTGGATACCATGGTTGGTGCCTGACCAACCATTGCTAAAAATCGCTTAGCATGGCATGCAAGCCAAATTTTCCTGCTGGTCACCTAAATTAAACAAACAAAAAAGCCTTCAAGTGCTCAGTGGAAAGAAACAGGGAACTGACAAATATGCAATGTGCTAGATTTTAGAAAATTTGTTAATACAGCTTGAGATAGTCGGCCCTTTCAGAGGGCCACTTGCTATTTCTGTAGGTAAGAAGACTTCACGTTTTCTTGAGTTGTGCCACACAGACTTTTGAAACACAGAGAGTCCAGTAGGAGGAAGCAATGAAGAATTAGGAAACATACCTGGAGATGTGACACTAACTAGTTACAGTGTCTTCCCCCTGAAAGTCCTGAATAAAGAAACTTAAATTCCTAGTGATTGCCAGTCTCAGTAGATCTGGAAATACAAACCATGATGATAGCAGTCTTGTTTAAAAGATGTTTTTATTGGAAATGGATGATTTCTGCCATACAGCAGATTTACAGGTACTTGATACCTCTTTTTACCTTCACAATTCTTTTCGCCAGATGCATTCCAGAGTTACATACATTATTGTAAATAATTAGTTTTTGTCTTTGGCATTGCCTTGTTCTATCTCTAGGAACTGTGATATTCCTAATGTGAAAGGGAATCATATTTTCACACTGATTCCACCCTCTGACTGCTGAATTCTTTGTTTTCATTGCTGAGGGTAGTAGTGAAGTAAACAAGATAATTCTGATAATGGCCTGACTTCTCCTCTTAAATTGGTGCATAAATTAGCTTTAATCTTGGACAGTTATGAAGAAAAAGTTTTCAATTTAGTTTACCATAGAGTAAATACTTGTGCAGTGAAATTTCTGAATTTTCCAGGCTTACATTTTCTAGGTAGGTCTTATAGTCAGTGACTTGGTGAGGAATATCAGAGTTCATTTTGCCTCCAGGCTTTCCATTTGTAGTCACCCTTTCCCCTTGGCTTGGCTTCCTGCCTTTCAAAGAGATATCCAGCATCCTAGTGTTTACTTTCTCCAGCTGTTGTCTGCTATGTGTTTGTTAAAAGAATTAATTACTGTAATGTTCTTCCTTTTGTTTCAGAAGGCTGTATTGTAGCTCTTTTCCCCTTTTAAGAGTTCCTGTTTCCTATTCTATTGTTGGCAAATTTCTGGCTTTATATGAGTCGTGGTTTTTAATCTAATGATCATAATAAAGTGTTCACTTTTGTTTTGCTTTTTAAATCTATTTTTAGCAGAGGTAATGGTAGTACACATGTTCCAAATCCACGGCAATTTGGGCAACAGTTAGAGAAGAAAAAAGCAAGAACAGGCAGGAAGATTTTAGTAGAACTTCTATCTGTACAAAATTTAAACATTGGTCTTGAGTTATTGCATTACATAGAGTAATTTGTGGGTCTAAGTATTTATTTCATTTTTCCCCTATAACTAATGTGTTCAAGACTATTCATTAAAAACATTTTTTTGACTATGATTGAAAGTCGTAGTCTTTGATTCTGTAAAATCTGTGGCCATATGTAGAAGAGAAAAGAAAAAAAGAAGGAAAAGATGTCTACAGTTTTAAGCAGCTTTGCCATATTTCTTAATTAACAGAAGTAGTGAGCTCTTAAGAGCTCCTACTGAGATTGGTGGAAGCTGCTGGGAGCAACATAGAAATTTCCCACATATGTTGAACAAGACCTGAGAGTAGGACTTGGGAAGGAGGAGTTAAAAAATTGTACCTGTGTTTCTAATATTTTCTTAAGGAATTATTCTTTAAGTTCAGATTTTGATTATTTTGTTCTCTAAAATGTGGAACAGCTGTTGTAAAAGTTGGTCCAAAGATCATTGTGTACATTAGCATTCCTTACTATTTCCTACTCTTTTGCTTTTTATTCCAGCATTATTTTCACTATAATGAGAAGCATATAATTACCTGAAGCCCTAAAAAAAATAAATAGAAGATCCAATAACTTCTGCACTATTTTCTTCAACCTGACTGCTTAGGTGATTTAAATTCTTTCTGTTCCTTCCTTCACAAGTTTAATCAGGATTAAACAGAGCACTTTGTTTTCCCTCTGAGAACTTGGCAGATGAGAGACAGGTGCTAGAGAAAGTAACCGTGGTGAAAGAATGCAAGCTTCTTTCTTCCCATGCAGAATCAACCATGTGCTCTATTATGTTATCTAAGGGTACTTTCTGGGCTGCAGTACCACCCTAAATGTGATATTTAATACTGACTTTAATAGTTGCAAGCATCCCTGAAGTGACTCATTCTCTGCAGGCTCAGTAATGTTTTGTTCAGCTCTCCTGGAAGTTGAGTGGAACAAGCCAAAGAGTTACCCATCATGACAGAGTGCTGTGCTAGATGCTGGCAATTGTCATATTTGCAGGGGTGTTTTTTGGAGGAGGGGTAAGGTAAGCCCAGTGTCCTGTGCAGATTGCAATATAGACAATTACATCCAGCCTTTCTCTTGGATTTGCAACTGGATCCTGTGCTAAGCTGTGGTGTATTGTTGCTATGTGCTGTAAAACAGTTCACTCCTTAAGCTGTTCCACTTCAGTCATGGGCAAAGTGATTCATGTGTGTGTATAATCCATTAGCAACAATTGTAAAGCACTCAGGGTTCTGTGGCTGAAAAATGCTTTCTGAATATAAAGTCACTATCCTGACTTGACAGTTCTGTTTGCCAACACTTGTCAGAATTACCAGATTTTTCATCTGGCTCTGATGGTTTCAGTATGTTCCAGATAAACATATTCAATCATCTTAAACAGGAGATTGAAATTTTTCTTCTGTAAAAAATATACTGGCCTTTAATGTGATTTGGGAATTATGAGAGCTGTGTCTCTCCTGCTTTCTTAAGTTGTAATGCCACTCTTAACTTTAGACACATCTAAGTGCTCACATGTTCTCCCTTTACAGCCTTATTGCATTTTAAAAACAATACAACTGGATAGTTTTGTTTTTCTGTGTCTGCCTTAGGTCCATCTGCAGCCAGTTGGCAAAGTGACTCCTCCAAAGTGCAGTGCCTGGGTTTCTAAAGGGGTTGCTGAGCAGGGTGTGGTTTCTGTGTTCATCAGCGTGGTTGCTGCAGTGCAGCCTTCTGGGCTGTCAGTGAATTCAGCAGGGTGTGAGCCCCATTTCCTGGGACAGAGACCCTTCCCAGGGACTGAAAGCCAGCAACTGTCCAGTGTAATAAACCAAAAGCAAATCTGTCTAATGGCTGTATATCCATAGCAGTTGGATATACTTTGGATGGAATCCTATCAGGAGGTTTCAGTTAAATGCCTTGCGGAGAATTCACCTAGATAAAACCAAAATTCATGCATGCTATTGTAAAGCACAGTTCTCTCCATGCCAAACACATTGTGCCTCACCCCGTCAAGTACTTCTTTTTCCTCCCAAAAACAATAATGCATTTTAATGTTACTGGCAGTATTGCTTTTCATATAGAGCTAATTTTTCAACCCTCTTGAAAATACAAGGATAAAAATGTTCTTCTGCAGTGAAATAGTATTTTAATTAAGTTTATCTCCTCTCTACAGACTTTATGTACATGATAATAAGAAACAAAAATGTTTAGATCTTGACTCGTCCTGTAGGATGAACCATGTAGGGAATAGAGTTGAACAAAGTTGGCTACTTCTTGCTTTGATGCCTTTCTCTTCTTCCCTATCCTATTAAGAAGAAAACAAAGTGGGGAAAAAAGAGAGAGAAAGAGAAAATAAAAGGCAATTAAGCAAGTGGCAGGTAATTCTGTGCTTTTAAGCAGAAAAATTAACAACTCTTTGGAAATCTTCAGTTTTATTTATTTCAGAAATCCTAAATAAGAACATTTTCTCATTAAGTGCAGAAGCACTGAAAGCAACCCCAGTAATGATGTAATCATCATGCAATGCACACATAAAGCAGGATCCTTTTGATCCAACTCTATCATGGAAATGGAGCCCACATCCTGTGATGTAGCAGGAAAGGACACCCAACTACCCTCCGAGAAGAAAGCTGTGTTGGTCCTACCCACTGGATGACAGCCATGGGGGGAGTAGATAACACAGAGAGAATGAAGCAAGAAAACCTGAAAATTTTCTCCAATAACTCCAGATTGAAAATATAAGGTGAAATTTAAATAAATGAAAGTTGTGCTTTTTGGACTGCTTGGGAAAATTCAGGAGGTTGTTGAAGGTTTCTTACAGGTAGTAATTAGCCTAGGAACAAAAAAATTAACCATTTCTGTATTAGCTGTGTGCTAATTGATTAGAAATAGAGGAGAAAAATATTCTCCATGTGTTTGTCAGCCACAGGACAATAGCCTTTTTTAAACAAGGCTGCAGGAAGCACAGAGTCAGTCCTGTATGCTACGAGATGAAACACTTGCATTGGAAAGAAGGGGATAAATGACATTGTACAAGTTGTTGGTTTTGTGCTCAGGCTTATCTCATGGAGGGGACTGGAATATCCTGTGACAAATGAAGGGTAAGAGCAAGCTCATTAGTCATCTATAAGACAGCAGGGAGGGGTAAAAGCCTGACGAGATCAGCAGAAAAATGAGTAGATATAAATTGTTCATGAATAAATGTCATCTGGAAGTTGGAAGAAGGTTCCTAAGGACCAGTGGGACAACTGTCTGGAACAGCTCTAAATGTAAGGCCCGGGAGAGGGGAAGTCCTAAGTGATTTAAAGAAGGGGTTTTCCACTTAAGAGAAGATTTGCATAATATGCTAATCTGAAATAGGCACTGAAGTCCCTTCCAGTCTTGTATATCCTCATCTCTTCAGTGGGGCCTCACGAGGCCCATCTTGCTCTCTTCTCCCACCATCTGAGAGTCATGATACAACTCTCTCACCAGACCACTAACTGCTGCATGGCAGCCACGCTCATTGCCTCTTGCTACCACTGGATTTTGCTTTCTGAAGGGCTTCCACTGGCATCAGTGACACTTGCAAGCTAAGACACTTTAAGGTCCAGCCTGAGCTGCACTGCACTGCACTGGGGATATGTGACCAGGGCAGCCCCTAAGAGAGCTGGCAGCAATAAAATCAGATTGGGATGAAAACACCAGCAGAGCAGAAAAAGCTGAACTGGGATGAGAGATCAGTATGTCTCCTTCTTCCTTTTTAAGAAGATTCTGTTGCTATGGCAATTTTCTCTACCCAAAGCTCATTTTATGTAAGCAAGCCCCAGAATGGAGGACTTAATTCAGCTGTTACACAAAGTAGCAATTATTCTGAACAATTGGGGAACTTACAGCCTGGATCCAAGCCACAGCGGCTTTCTCATGAAACTACCAGGTCACTTTTTCCAAGACCTTTGACATTCTGTGTTGTGAGGCACAGAAGGATATATTCTTTAAATAGATTTTTTTTTTTTGCATACTGTGGTATTTGGAAATATGTAAACATTCACATTCCCTATTTATTCATCGTGACACTGAGAAATCAGTGTCTAGTTCCCAGGCCCCAAGCCAGAAGAGGCTTATTTTCTTCAGAGGGGTGGTGATACGAGATCAACTTGCTGGTGCAAGGATAAATGCTGATCCCAATCCACTATCCCCTGTGCGTTCTATGTTGACAATGCCATCCTTGCTTGTCACCAGATTAGAGACTACCATTGTAAAAGGTCAATTCATTAGGCAAAGATAAAAATATAAGAGTTACAATGGGTATATAAGGATCAGACTGAATCTCTTTCTAGCTCAGTATCCCATCTTCGGCAGTGACTGTGAGTAAATGCTAAGGTAGAACAAAAGGCTATTTCCCTGTCTCTGTGCTGTTTCTGAATCTGTTTTCAAGCTAAGAATTTATTCAGCTGTGTGTTTAATAACTCTTAACAGATTCTTTTTCCCTGAAATTCTGTCTCCATTGAGCTCATGTGAACTTTTAGCAGCTAAAGCATCCTTTGCCTAGCAGTTCACAGTTTACAGCTTTATGGTGAGAAGGAATAATGTCTGTTTTCAAATTTGGCTCCTACTGCTTCACACTGTCCTGCCCCTGCCTGGCCTTTGTTCTGGAAGAAACTGAGCCATCTAACCCTACACAGCCTCTCTGCATTTCTCATGAGTCTGCAGCCCTCTTGCTGCATCCTCCTTCAGTCATGTCTCTTCCAGACAGAAGAGCCTCATGTTCCCCAGACAGAAGACATTCCATGCCTTTTGGATCATTCCTGCTCCCCTTCTCTCAAACATTTTCAAGTCTAATAAAGCTTTTGTGCTTGGAAAAAATATAGTCTGTAGAAACACATATTTAAATAACCTGTTTCTAAATGTTAGCAGGTTCTAAACTGGCCATGGTCTACCATCTTAGCCTTCATAACAATCTTTAATTTGAAAGGCTTTAGATTTTTGCACGTATCCTGCAATTTTAAAATTAATGGCCTATATAAACTTTTTTAATTCAAAGCAAAATTATTTGCAAATATAGGTAATAACTTGTGTATGTTAGATGTTCCTTGATGAGTAAGAATAAAAAATCACTTGAGCTCATTCGCATGCAGTGCTGAGTTTCATGGAGATGTAGGTTAGCTTAAATGTTTGATGTGTTTTGTTAGTGAAAACATGTGGCTGGATGGGATCAGGGCATGGGGTCTGTATGAGAAACTTGAGAATTGTGAGGCAAGTGTATGGAAAAAGATTCTAGGCTGAACAAGAAACCCTTCAAATATTTTTTTTCCTCAGAAATGTATTTTTTGCTAAAAGGTAGAGATCACTTGGCTAAATCTTCCAATTGTGCTGGTAATATTCCTTCCTCACATATCTGACTAGTTTTGCAGCCTTCAGCAGTTCATTAATTTCTGTATCTCTCCTATTCATTCCAGAATGTTAGATTATTACCTGGCTGCCTTTATTTCTTGAATATTCTCATTAGGTAATACTTACATTGTTTTAAGTTGTAACTGCTGTAAATGCCATTTTTTATCAGCTGGTTTGTAACACAATAAATGCCTGTTCAGGTAGTGTACTGTCTCCAACATAATTTTCAGTCTTTCCAAGGTAACCATTCTAGTTAATAAATATCAGAAATTCTTTTCATTGCACATTCTTTGAATACCAAAGTGGCTATTTTGGGAGTGCAAGCAAATGTGTATTTATTTTAAGTTTGGAAACAATGTTTGTACAAGCCCACGTGCTTTTTCAGCATTCTTTTTTATTTTTAAAACACATTTTTTGCAATTTATAATGAATACAGAATCACTGTTTCATTTACTGGCAAAATTTATACTGACCTCACCAGATCAGGATCTGCTCTGTGAGTTTAGTTCTTAGGGGACAAAAACAAACTTAGAAAACACCTTCCTATTTTGTGTCTCAGTGCCCTGGGAATGATGAAACAGACTGAACTCACAGCACGTTATAAAGAGAAATCTGTCCATGTCTGACATACACAATGACAGCTATGATTGGCAGACAGGGAGTGTGAGGTGAGGCCATCTCTGCCTGTCCTGGGCCAGCAGGGCTGGCACTGGCAGCTCTCCTGCTGCTGCATCCTGGGATGCTCTGCTGTGAGGGCATCCTGCCAGGAAGGGAACACCCTCAGGATAAATGAAAGTTAGCAGAGAAAGCATTTTTTCCTATTTAGGAATTAAGTGAACTTGCTTGTTTAAACATATTTTTATGCAGATACTCTTTGAGTTTCTGTAGAGTTCATTGCTGTCTCTGATGTTTTCATAGAGTAGGTAATAAATCCATGGTCTTTATTTATACTTTTTCCATCTATGGATGTATTTGTTAATATGTAAGTACAGTATTTACTGTACTTACAGTAAATACCAGTGACAGAATGTCACTGTTTTTTTCTTTACTATCAGGAAAAAACCCTATTTTTCATATAAATAATATCCACAATTAAGAGGCAAAAACTCTTTGATTGCATTTAATTCCTTCCTTCCTTCCTTCCTTCCTTCCTTCCTTCCTTCCTTCCTTCCTTCCTTCCTTCCTTCCTTCCTTCCTTCCTTCCTTCCTTCCTCCCTCCCTCCCTCCCTCCCTCCCTCCCTTTCCTCCTCTCATACAATGTAATAGCTTTTCTATGCTACAGAAATTGCTCAGAGGTAAAACTTAACTCTACAGAAATAAATTTTGTTTGCTTCAGATATCTGAAATTGTTTTATATTTTGAATTGTAAGTAAGAAAACCCAGATTTTTGAACAGGAAGGGTTTTCAGTAGGCCAGTATAATTCACTTTCAGCAAACCCCTTATGAGCTGTTTTTTTTTTCTTAATTTCCAGGTGAAGCAGAAAGCAATTGTAAGCATCACATACATGTTTGGGTTTATAAATTCATTTAGAACAGTAATCCTTTGCACACTGCAGCTCTTACTGACCATATCAGATGTGACAAAAGCTTTTGTGGTGTAATCTGCCTTCTAATAGTTTGAGTAAAGGGAACCTACTTGTAAGAATTGCTGGTAAAGCCCAGTAATTAATGTATCATGAGTGCTGCTTTTCTTAGCTGATATTTTGGACATAGTTTCAAAACCTTGCTGAGGAGTTCCATAAATGGGACATACATGTTAATTTATGCAGAAGTGCAAAAATAATCACATCCATGAAGGTAAATATTCTATCCTCCCCACCTGTCCAGGCATGTTTCCACCAAGAAATATAATGTAAAATTCTAAATACAGTGAAAAACTGGGAGTGCCCCAATTATCTGTTGTTCTGAGTGGGGTGGGGCACATGATACAGTCACTGGTCTAGTCCAGAATCCTTCCCAAAAAGGTTTGCTTAATGGTTATGACTATAAGCTTGAATTTCACTACAGTGTTTGAAAGAGTCATGTATAAAAGCTTTTTAGTCATCAACCTTTAATGACCCAGTAAATACATAACTTCATTTTTCACTTACATAGTGGCCAGCAGTGTTGGAGATATATAGCCAGTAAGTTTGGACAGTGTGACTCCAGGTGTTCTCTGGTACTTGTGTCATATTCATTCACAAGTGTCAGGGTAGAGAACTTTGGTGATTTAAAATGAACTGGATAAATGTGGCTTCAGGAATTTATTTTGTTACTATTGTAACATTTGCTAATGGTGGAAATTATGTAGAAAAACTCTTTGAATTTAGAAGCATGACTATTATAGTAATTTAAAATAAAATTGCCATATTATGCAAAATAACTCTTTATATTCATAAAGTCAATAATTCCAAATAGAGCTTAAGGCTTTGTGTTTTGCTGAAGTAAAATCTAGATTATGAGTCTTTCCTTTCTCACTGCATTATTATCTTATGTCATTTCAGCATGCATACACAACTACAGCCATAAATGGGACAAATTTTTGTACATCAGCAAAGGATACTGTCAGTATTTTGGCAAAGAGTTCTGCTAAACTTGAATCCATTAGCTGCTTTGGAGATTTTCTCCTATTTTTAGGAAAGGTAAGAGTAAATAAAAATATTTGTTCTGTAAAAATGAGGTGAAAAATCAGGTTTGATTATCTTTTCATATACCTAAAGTAAAAAGTTTATCTTTGTTAAATTCAGTGTTGTCAATGCTATAAAATAAGCTTGGGAGAGAATATCTGAGGAATTGAACTTTGCAGAAGTATTTTGTTGTAAGATAGCAGTGTCCTTGGACCCACTCTGGCAGCTCCAATTGCATAAAGCCTTTGGTAAATACATGGCTAGAGGTTTCCTCTGCCCCGTGGTATTTACACATGGAATTGAACACAAAGTGTCACAACTTTGTGATGCTGGAAATTGCTTAGCTATCTCCCAGATGAGATGTGCTCTTAAAATACTGGCTGTAATATATTTGCCTCAGTGTTTTGGGGATTGGTTTTTTAAATAAGAAACATTTCTGCATGATTACTGAGGCTGCCCTTCTCTCTCACTGCCCTTTACAGGTGTTTGTTGTATGCTTTACTGTTTTTGGAGGCTTGATGGCATTTAACTACCACCGGGAGCTGCAGGCTTGGGTAGTTCCTCTCTTGCTGGTTGGATTTTTTGCCTACCTGATATCCCACAGCTTTCTGTCTGTGTTTGAAGTGACAGCAGATGCCTTGTTCCTTTGCTTTGCTATTGATATGGAAACAAATGATGGAACTCCAGAGAAGCCATACTTTGTGGATCAGGAGCTGCTGGTAAATCCCACTGATTACAGCAAAGATATTTGAGACATTCTAAGCTTTTAAGCACTTTTTCTTTCCCCAAGACCTAGTAATCTGAACCCACAACCCATGCTATTTCCTTTCCAACACCTTAGAACAGGATGAACTCAGGGATACAAGTACATTAATTTATAAATTGAAGTAAATGGCTTCCTCTGACTCCTGTGCCTTAGCTATGACCTGCTGCCTTCTTTTAGATCATATTCTGTAAGTAATGGCTGACTATTTAGACCTAATTAGATATATCATCAATATATTGTTGGTAAAAGATATAAATAAATAGACAAGCTAGCTGCTGAAATGGATCCATGGGGTGCCCTAAGATTAATACTTATATTTCTTGTGACTAACTGTACACTGATGAGAAAAAATTAACAAGTCAGGGATCCATTCCACATCCTACAGATGCTGTAGTTCTGAACATATTTCATGCAAATCTGAGTTGCTCTGCTCTATACCTTTACAGATTCTTTTGCCAAAACATTTTCTTCTATCTCTTGATTAAACTCTTCTGCCTCTGGACAGGTTGTTCTCCATTTTTACCCTTGTAATTACTGCATTGTATTACCTTCAGTACTTGGCTAATATTGATGCAGTACTGTAACTGAAGCCTTTGAATATATATGTGTCACCCCTTTCTAATTAAGAGAATATCTGAAGATGCAAGTATTTTTTTCCTTTGTGCTATTTTTGACATGTCTGTCTTTTCCTTGACAAACTACAAAAGAGAGAGAACCTTAGCAATCCATGAAAATTAATAACCAGCAGCCAGAGTAGCTCACATGACACAAATATTCTGAATGGCTTTCCTCAGGACAATGTCAGAACTGCTTTGGAGTTTTGGATTTTATTTATTTCTTTAATGCTGCTGTTAGAGTTCCTATAATATTAATAGAATTTTGTTGAGAACAACAATAGCACAACAAAAAGGCAGCCTAAAGATAGGTGTAACCCTTTGTACAGAAGAAATCAGATATATATTCTTTGGCTTTGGTTCAGAATAGTACTTAAGCACATCGCCTGGCTAGGAATATAAAACCAAATGAAAAACTCTGAAGCCTTGACCTCTGTTCTTCCCTCTCTGTTTTGCCAAATTCTAAAATACTTCTTGAGACAATTTTCCTTCATGAAACAGAGGCTCTCCTTTCTCCACGTCCAAACTTTGTGGTAGTTTCTCTTTAACTCTGCTCTTAATTCTGTGCAATTAGCCATGCCCTAGAGCTGTGGGTGAAGAGAGGATTTCCCACAGGGACAAGGAGTCTTCCAAGCAGGACAGGCTCTGTACCCTTCTATGGAAAAACTGTGGGCAGCACATCCAAACTCCTCCTCATTGTATGATCAAGAGTAAGTTTGCTAACACAGACAAGAATTTGGAGTTTCCCAACACATGAAGGCATTTGACTTGTCTGTGTTACAATCAGGTTACAAACATCCCGGGGGTGGAAGGGAGGCTCTGTGGCCCTCAGGACAATATGCAGCAGTGGGCAGAGAGCCGGGGGAGGGATTTCATACAGCTGGAAACCTCATTCCTGCAGTAGGAGATGTACCAGAGATTTTTAATTCATTTTTCTCAGCTGCATTCATTGCTTTTGCTGCCTCTGCAGTCCCTCACAGTATCACTGTCATCCAGCCAGGAACCAGCTACAGTTTCTTAGCCCTGGGCTAATTATCTTCCTTCACCAGGTATTTTTATTAGCATAATGGTTTCCTTTCACAAACGATCTCACTCTGGTTTGTGCTTGTAGACCTTTGTGAGTCAGAGTTACAAGTTAACAGAAGGGCGAAAGCACAGAAACACAAGACCATTCCAGGATAATGACGGGACAGAGCTGCAGCCTATGGTGAGTGTGGGATATGTATTTACCTGCCAGCTAATGTGGTTTACCTTTATGTTCCAAGAAGAAGGGATGGAGGTTATCATGTGTCTCCTGACATCTCACAGCAACCAGCATGCTGTACCCAGTATCCTGTTCTATTGCTTTCCCTCCTCAGGAAACCCTCTGCTAGTACAAAATGGATGGATCAAATAATTATTCTCTTTTTTCTTCACATTCCCCATTGTGCCTAGCAGAAGAAGAGGAAGTTTGGCAGTGCCAGAGGGGTGGGAGATAAATCATATTCAGATAGTCTTTCACCTGCAGGCTGTATCAAAGTCAGAAGAGTGGTAGGTTGCTTAATTTCATGCCAGAACTGCTAAAGTTCCAGACCTCTAAGACCAGATCTTAGAGTCTTTTCCCCTCCCCCTCAGCCCCATTCTCTTCTCTCCTCTTCTCCTCTCTTCCTTTTTTATCAGTATATATATTTATTTATTCTGTTCTGTGATGGGGTAACAAAGCTGACATGCCAGAAGGGAGTGTTTCCCCACACCCAGGCTTGGGAAAGTCCTCAGAGTCAACACTCACTCACTGACATCTGAAAAAGTACTGCAAATTGCCCAGCCTGAGAAGCTGCCCCAGCAGGACTTATTTTCCCCAAGCACTGTGGGAGACAAGCTAGGACTGCTAGAGGAAGATTCTGCAGGAACAGCTCCTCTGGCACCAAACTTGCTGGGTACTACTACAGATCCTCTCCTGTCACAGCTACTTACACAAGTGTAACAGATGTTGGTGATTTTTCTTCTTCAAAAGGTACCAGGCTCTAGTTACCTCTCATTCAATCCTGAGGACCTTCTACTACAGGCAGAGCACTCCTCCAGTTTATTACTACAGTGAGGGGTAGTACTAAATATTTTCATTGTTTGGGTCTGTTATTGCATTCTTCAGTAGTTTTTTTTGCTGAGCACAGAAACCAGAGGCTGGGTGGGTGTTATTCCCTGCAAGAACATTGTGGATTTGAGATACAAAAGAATCTTAATAGTTTTCCCAGTTTACCCTTATGACATTTAAATGCAGAAACAGTGCTACACATTATTTGACTCCTGTTTTTTCTCTTTGTAGACTTGAATGTGAAGTACACCAGGAAGAGTGGAAGAAGAGCAGCAATAGCAAAAATGGTCATATCAGTAAAGGTTACCAATAGCCTAGGACAAAGTATTAGCTCCCTAAATCTGTTGTATCTTCTGCACTGGTACAATGACACACAATCTGTTTGTATGAATAAAATATTTTGTGTGTCATCACATCTAATTTTTATTACTACACTTGGTCTGAAAGTTGATAATAAACTCACTCTGTAAATTTCTATGTTGTCAGACAAAATTAGTAAGTCAAAAGGGTCATGGAGTTAACACGATTTTTTCAGGCTTCTCTGGGAATGCTGTGCCAGTCATCCCTAGAACAGTAAAGGCAGAAGTATTTGTAGAGGAGGCACTCTGAGATGACTGTGTCCTGATTCATTCTGCATACCTGAACAGCCAATTAAGGAACAGACTAAGCTCACTGATGGAAATTACCCTTGACAGACATTCTCTGTAGTCAAGATAATTATCACTTATGAGGTAGGTGTCTTTCTTTTAAATATACTCTTTTGGGAATGTTTTTTACAAGTTCATACCATAAACTGTCCAGCTCCTCACCAAAGGGCAGATGAGGAATAGTCCCTTCCTTCCTTCTTTCTGCAATTGAAAAGATGAAGCAGAAAAATTTGCATCTATATTTAGAGCTTGGCAAAGTAGCAAGTGACAGATAAAATAACAGGACAGACATGAGATAAAAATGTTATAAATAATACTTTATAGAAATGTTAGCTGTAGCATGGGTGTGAAATACATCATGCAGGAAATGGAGCAACTGTCAGGGCTCTAGTCAGAAGAGGAACACAAGTGTAGACACTTAAAAAAATTAACTTGGTAACAGTCTGCCAGCACTTTCTTGTGAGCAATTTTAAAGCTCGTTTAAACTTTCTACCTGGATCCTGACTGTAATACACTTTTTAGTCTCCACCTTGTTCTGAATATGGAGTAGTCTCAGACTTTACTCATTGGCCCATTTGTTCAAATTTTATCTGAGAGGTTTGTGGTGGGAAAATAATGCCAGCCAGGGATGTCAGTAAAGTATCAATAGGAAGTGAGACATCACTGCAGGTATGTGACTCAGAATTGGCTTAATGAATAGATTGATAAACCCTTGATTAGTCACAGCTTGGAAATGATGTAGAGAAAAGCTCACTGATGCCTGAATAAGAAATATGTTTCATTTAAATACTGTATCTGGTCTCCTGTTGTTGAAAGGAGACTAGTTATGTAGAAATACCAAGACATACTTGTTTTTTATCCATCAGTTAATTACCTTCAGTCTACTTTAGTATGAGCCACTTCAAGAAGTTGTGGAATATAGGATAAATGATGGAAAAAGGAAAGAAATAGATTAATTACTTTTTGCCTAGCAGGTGAAGATGATAATGTACTGGCTGTGACTCACCACCTCTCCTTATTTAATCTGTACCCTTGGATACTTTTTGTGCTCAGCTTGTGGATATTGTGGGAACTTCTTAAAAGTCCTGAATAAGCAATAGCTCTCTAACCCCGAGGAAGTGTGCAGATATGGTACTTACAAAGAGGCAAAACTTTTCCTCTGCCATGGGTTTGCCAAGATTGCTTCCAAGAAGCAGTGTCTTCTCAATGTAAACATGATATTTACCAGTTTACAAAGCAGAAGTTTGCTTTGAAGTTAAAAAAAAAACCCAGTTTTTTATTACACATTCAGGGCTTTTTTTCCTGTTTGTATTTGGTACTCACACTTTAAGTTTTGGCCTTTGACTCAGGAACTCTGATGGAAAAAAGGGAGGGAAATTTTTATCTAAGTATGTCCTTGTTTTTAGAAAATCCCTAGATGACCTTCAGAGGTCCCTTTCAATCTCAACAACTCTGTGGTTCTGCTCATTGCAATTATGATACAGTGTCATTTCCTTCACTGCAGCTCCAGAGTAAAGATTCATACACTTCCTAAAAATTCCGAGTTAGATTTTAAAGAAGGAAGGTACTGAAAAATGCCAGTTAAGCTGTATTTGAGTGTATTCTGTTAAAGGAGTCCTGTATGGTCATTAGTCCTGAAGTTACATTGTAAAGTAAGTTTTGAGAACTGAGTGTATTTTTAGAGAAGACTTCCAAATATATAGCTTTTAATTACATTTGTACAGAAAGCATAGCTTTATAGCTCTCATTTACAACTCAAGACCTCCCAATCTTACATACATTGCACTGGCAATTGTGTCAACAACCTCCAGCTGTAGCATTCCTGTGTGGCAGGAGCCTCCACCTGAGTTAGGGTAAGACACTCCTACAGAAAGCTGATGCTATTTAGTGCTTGCTTCTCAGGGCTGCCCTCCCCTGCAGGGTTACTGTAGTCAGGCAGGAAAGGAGGCTGTATGGAGGCACAGCTCCTGGGAATACAGCTCCTGCTGGTTCTGAGGGTGGGCTAAGCCACTTCCAATAATTTGACATCTGCCCTGCAATGTAGCTCAGTAAGTGTGGACTCACCTTTCCTGCAGCTATGGAAGATTAGATTCAGCAGAATGAAAGGTACTTTTATAACTATGTTCATTAAAAACAGGAGACAGGGACTACTTGTGTCTGATAACCAGAAAATGGCTAAGTATTGCAGCCTACTGTTTTAAGCAAAGCAGCTTGATTTTGGTCTTGGTGTCTACTTCAAACTCTGAATTCAGTTGCGATTCCACTGGCTCTCTCTGGATGAAATATGCATACCAACAGCAGCTTGTGTGTTGTTTGTTTCTTCTGTTTAAGTACATAATAAGGGGAAAGTAGTTTAAAGCCTAAGTTTTGGGTTCAGAAGGAAGGAGAGCATGGTCAGGCTTTCAAAAAGAGATTGCTTTCACCCAAACTATAAAAACAAAAAGCTTTAGCTGTTGATTGTAGAACTTCTTTTCAGCATTCATTACAATAGTTCTAAATAATTAAATACTGTTATTTTGAAGGGGGAGAAACAATATCATTCAGGAAGAGCAGGTCTTAACAGATCTGTTGCTAATAATTCTCTTGCCTCAGAAGCAGGACTTGGACCAGTGACCTCTAAAGAGCCTTTCTAATTTAAATTCTGTAAAATAAATAAGCTTAAGACTTACACAACAAATAGGTCGGCTGAAAGTCAGATCACCACATCACATTCAATTCAAAGATGACAGAAACTATTGGGGCACACACAATTTACAGTCTCGAGGAAAAAAATCCTTCATAAATCCAGAATTTGCAAATGTAAAACATTTAATATGTGAATGTAGTAAGTTTAAACTGCAGTGAACACATTTATGATAACCTTGAATTATTTTACAGAAGTTAGAAACTACAACATTGGCCCCCAACACATGCTATTTTTTCTCCTTTTAAAAACAGTGCAGGTAAATTAGTGTAGCTTCTCTGCACTCCATGCTGAGGAAGAAAGCATCCTCCACTTAGGAATAAAGCTTTGCTATCAGTAACTGAGAACCAGGATTGCAGGAACTCAGCAGGCACAGACTGTGTTTGTCTTTACATAATCTAAAGCAAGAATGTTCTGCATTCTCCAAGTGATGGTATAAAGGCAACAGGCTGAAGCAGAGGCAACAATAAATATCTGTGATCCTTGTTTGCCTTGAGAAAACAGCAGGGATTTAGTGAACAGCTAAGGATCTCTAGTCATAACCTCAGAGTCATGATGAAGGGAAGTGAACCCAGCTGTGAAGGACCTACATTCCTTTCCTATTAAGTCAGCGAGACTCATTCCTGAGAGATTTTTAAAAGATTGTTAGATTAAATCCCACGGAAAAAAAATGAACCCAAACTGCAACAGAACAGAGTTCTACATTACCCTTACAATAGGCAAAGGTGATGCTTATCTGGGAATAATTCTTATGACATCTCCTCTTTAAGACTGGTAGCATAACAAATGAGACAAGATCACCTATGTACCTTTAAGAAAAAAATATTTATTTATAAAAATACAATGGGATCAGTTTCAGAAGTGTGGCAATAAATACAGTACAAGGAAGAAAAAAGCATTTCTACATGGATATATTATGGCACAATAAAAGGTAAATGCACCATCAATCATGGAACTTCTCTTGGCTCAAGACTTTGTACAAGCTCCCTTTTTAGTAAGACAACTATTTCTAAGTTTGGTCAGTGTTGATAAATGGAATGAATACACAATCACGAATGCACACTTATGTCTAATGCAGGACTTAACATTAGCAAACAATACCTTAAAAACATAGCAATGATATTAAATCACTAATGAGATATCTTAAATTTAATTGGCAAAGACCACATGTAACTTTAAGCATGAAATTATTTTATCTTCTCCAGAGAAAAGCTGTAAATATGTAAAATGAAGGCTTAACTTGGTATGTAAAAACCTACTTAAGTAGAGATTGTGAGAATGTATAGCTCCTTACGAAACAACCTGGCTGTTTGAAAGCACTCCCCCTTTCACAGTATTCCTTTTACTTCATATGCAGTTATTGTTTATGCTGTAGACTATAACTGTTACAGCACTAAAGGCAACTAGACAGGGAAAGGGCAGAGAAAGGAGAAAGGAATGTATGTAAGGCAGTATTTCTTTAGGTACATTAAGCGTAGTGTGTAGGAAAGACAGGTAACAATTCCACAAGGCTAGTTTCGTTCTTACTGAATAAAATAATCGACTAATACTGGACTTCCGATGCAAAGCTAATAATCAATGCCCTGGTCACTGTACTGACCATGGTAATCTCTTTGATAGTCATCCTGGTACTCTCCGTGGTAGTCATCTGGGTACTCTGCCTGATAGTCGCTATCGCTGATTTCTGACCCGTTAGTTCCTGTTCCTTGGCTGCCGTTGTGAATGACAGGTTCTGTGGGTGCAGCACAGTACTTGGGGTCATACACTTGCCGTCCGAGCCCATACGCACTCATTCCCTTCTGTGTAGCTACTTTGTTGGTACCCATTTGTAACGAAATAGTTGAGTTATCCACAGGCTGTAATATGTACTTCTGATCGTAGATGTCTCTCCTGGTACCTGGTGCCAGCATACCAGCCTAATAAAACAGGATTGTAGAGGTTCAGTAAGAAGGTCAAGAGCTGTGATTACTAGATCTAGGATTTCAACTAGTATGCCTCACTGAAAGTGCTGAAAAGTAGGAATTAAAATGTAACAAAACCCAGCACAGTAACATCTGCTCACTAGTAGGCGAGTCACAGAAGAAAGTCCTTGCAGAAAGGTCCAGTTTATGTTCCTCTTTGGGAAGAATATACTAAGTATTCTAAGGTACTGCCCGTAAGCAATTTATTTTTTGCTTCTGTCTAGTTAATGCTTATAATGAAGTTACTGTTTTCTCCTGGGATAACACTGCCAGCAGAAAATTCTGTAAGCACTGGGACATTTTTTTGCCTTAAGACTCTCAGCATAGAACATACTGGCTAAGATAAGAGATTCAAGTTCCTCAGTTACTGCATAAGAGCACAGCTCAACTGTACCCACTCACTGCTGCCTGTCAAGACTCTGCTACTGGGCACCACTCCAGGCTCTGCTGTCCCACTGGGCTGAGACCTGTGTCCATCCTGCATGTCACACACAGTCCTGCTTACCTGACTGGCTCCTTTGTTAGTGCCCATCTGTAGGCTAATCGTTGTCTGGTCAAATGGCTTATCAGTTTGCATTTTTGGATCATAGAGGTGTCTTCTAGTTCCATAAGCAGTCATGCCTGCCTGACTGG